TATATAATTTTGAAATTCAAGGCATCAAAATTGAAGTGGAAAAAGCATGGACGTTAAAAAAAAAGTGGAAATTTCTCTCAAAATGATATGTTTGTCTTTTTTTCCATGCAGAGAGAGAGAGTTAGTTGAATGAGTCATAATTCTACCTTGTTTATAATATTTGTTGTGTTGCAATTGTCCCAGGTCTTCCCTATAATAATTTGCACAAAATTACAGAATGACGTTTTGTACAATTATAGTGCACAAAAAGTCGTTCTTCATTTATAACATTATTTTACATTCATGCACAATCACACAAAAATTCTAGTGGAAAGTAACTAGACCAAAAAAAAAAGTTTAGACATTTCTGTTGACGTGAACTTTGATCAAGACAGAAGCCCGTTCCAGACTAACTTCAGACTCCCACCGTCTGCCAGCATCTGATTATAACCAGCATAGATGCATGTGACCCAAAGCTATAGCACGGCGCCACAACCCAATTTCACCGCTTTCTGAGCACACATCAAGAGCGATTCATCAATGTCGTACTTGCAGACATCTCTTCCAAAAGCCCGACCCCTTTTGTGTTTTTATCTGCCGTGAACCTGCAAAGTGAGCAGCGCTGAACAATGTAATGGGTGTCAACCGGTGGCAATGCCCGAGTTCAGTCTCTGCTCAGCATCAATTATTGTTCCAACACTGTGATGCTTTCCAGAGTCAGCAGCAACTACCCCCATCTTTGATCATCTCGCTACATACGATCAAAGGTGTGTAAATCAGGTTCAGAGTGTTTCTATAAGATGCAGTGGAAAAAAGTGCTAAAATATTTGTACTTCTTAAAAACAGAATCTGTAACCATTTCAAAATGATTTGAAATAGAAAATATAGTCATTTACACCCTAAAATGTGCACAGCTTGCACCAATAATGGGTTGCGTATGAGATATCACAGACACAAATATTAAATATTTGCTCAAGCGTTAACACCTTTCCAATTGCTGTTTATTTTCCGTGACTGTAAACAGTTTAAATGGTCATCGTTATATCAGTCCACCTTTCCAGCGCAGTTGTTCCCTTGAATTACCTCGTGAATGATTTATGTTCACCGCTACGGCTTTCGATGGCTAAAGGCTGAGGGCCAATAAAGATTTTTTCATAGGTAAACACGCCACATTAAAAGCCAGCGCTTCAAAGATGTTTCGGCTACAAGGAGAACATTTGGTCTCATTTCACTTGTCAAACATGTGAGTGTCACAACCACTCAGACAACACAAACCATTTCCCATAAGTAAACACAGCCTGCCGTAAAGCTAAGCAAGGTAGCAGGACTCTAAGCATACAGACAGACTCAAGCTAAACCACTGGAGCTACTTTGTTAATGGATCTAGTAGTTATTTGCTTGCAGGTAATAGCTGATTTATCGCTTCAAAGTGGTAAAAGCGTGTTAAAGGCAATTTTAGAGAGGTTTTAATGGGTCGTGGTGTCACAAATGTAGAAGCGCAGATTAGAAGCTAAGCGGTTACCATTAAACCTGCAAAAATAATCAGTGTTTTTCCATGCAGGCTCATCTCGAAACAAATAGAAACAGTCTATTCTGGGCGTAGAGTATTCAAATAGACCTGAGAACAATTCAGCGTACGAGATAACAGAAAGAGGACATCTGTAGCCCTATTGAAAGACTTGTTTAACAAGATTAGCATGGAGATTATCGAACTTTACATGGGTCCTTTTTCCCCTGACCTCTTTTCAACTCTCTTTCCAGAACACTTCCTTACCATTCCACCACATACTTTGAGCGCCGAGAGGTTTTGCATGAGATTTTAATGGGAGATGTTTGAATAAACCACAGTCATTTGTGCTTTTTTGGTAACCGTGACAGTCGTTTTAACAGCCAAATTTGACCACAGCTTTGGGCCAGTGTGTGCTTGATATTATGGGACACAGTTTTCAGGCTTGTCAGGCACCGTGTTGTTGTGACGACGTGTTTGTATAAGCGTATAAAGGATGGCGGTTTGTCTGCACTGCTCAAACAAATGTTGGTAATACCAAGGTAGTTTAAAATATACCATGGTATTGTTTTGTAAGTGACATTTTAATGTACAAAAAGTCAACAAATTAAAGGATAAAGCAAAATGTAAGCAATTTAATTATATTAAAGTGGTTACATTTTGCTTTATCATTATTTGTGTGTGTGTGTGTGTGTGTGTGTGTGTGTGTGTGTGAGTGGCAAGCATCAATACAGTAAAAAGTCAGTGTTACAAAAAAAAAAAGTTGAATTGGACAACCATTTCAAGTAATAACTTCTATTTTTATCAGTTTTATTGTGGATTTGGAACCTGAATGAAATCATTAACTATAGGGAACAACACTGCTTATTTGCTTGGCTGTTTTTGTGACTGAAATATGAGTCCAAGATTGACAAAAAAATCACATTGTGCATACAAAAAAACAACCCAATTGTATTTCAACACTATTTTATTACAGAAGTGTAGCTATTGCCATTCCCTTCGCAATTGTGTATATATTTTTTTACATTCAATAAACACTGATGTTTTGTTTTTTTTTTCAATGTAAAAAAAAAATGAAGAAAAAAAATGATGAATGTACTGCAGGGCATAGCTGCCTTCTGATCATATGTGACTAGATTTACACGAAAAGCAGCATTGAGGTGCATTAACCTGAATATACATGTTTTATATTTTCAATAATGGCATGGGGAGCGAGTAATGGACCAACATCCACTTTTTTCCTAATAAAAAAGCAATTTGTCACTTTAATAGTAGAAATGTAGTTTTAAAAGAATGATGTCATAGACACACGTGAAGCCTGTCTGAAGATAACAATTTGATAGCTATAGGCGATTTTGATCAAAAAGTATCATATTCAGTGAAATACGATGTTAATTATACTGTATTGTTACTTAAGTATACAGATGTTCATTTAAATAGATTTCGAAAAGTAGTATTTGAAACACTGTGTACTGTAGTATTACAAAATCATGCTGTCATGGGATTTTTTTTTTGTCTTTAACTCCAAAAAAATAATATCTTCCATAAAGAAGATAAAAAAATCTGTTGTTCATTGAGAAAATTACCTGCATCTTCCCTCCTCTAAGACATTATATTCATAGGAGAATATATTTATACAGGTATAACTTGAATATTAGTGTTTCACAAATAACATATGAAATAGTTGTTTGTTGTAACTGTGCTGGTAATTAATCATTGTATGGGTCCTGAACGTGCGAGAAAGGATGTATAAGGGCCATTTACTCAGTCCAGATATGTGCTCACTTTGAGATGGAGAGTTTTAAGGATTTTATTTCCATAGTAATACACTGTATTATTTACTCAGTTTGACACCAAGGGAGAGAAAACAAATGCTGTGAAAATGTGCGAGAATAACAAAGCGCTCCACAAACAATCCAACAGTTTCAATGGTAAAAGAGGTTGGGATTTTTCCACTCACGTGCTCCAGACTCTAACCTGTCTAAATAGTTCAAAACATCTGTCTGAAGAGAGGCCATTTGCCCTCAAGAGTCTTTCGCTGTGAGAAAACGGCATGCTGAAACACCCCATCCCCTTCAATAGCAACAAAAAACACCAAAGGAGCATCTAACGTAACTACACCAGTACGTTTGTAGGTTTACACACTGCCATCATCTTCTGTCCATAAAGTGCTCTCTTTTGTCCTGGGGAATGACTAAAGGAAATGAGGGATAAGTCTGAAAGTTTGTTTTGTTTTCGAACGGCCGGTAGCAGTTTTCAGTAGACGTAGCCCTCGTTGTACGGGTGCGGATTGCAGTAGCCGCCCTCTTGAATGTACGCCATGTTCTCATCGAAGTGTGACAATGGCACGGTGTCTTCCTCGTTGATCTGCCGCTCCAGGTCGGTCTTCAGCACCGGGCGCTGATTGTCAGGGAAGGCCATGGAGAACAAAGCCTCGGGGTCGCAGACAAACTTATACACGTATCTTTCGCCTGCCACCTTTGAGTCAAGAAACCAGAATATTACTATACATTTCAACAGTGCAAGGACAATGTTTTTTTTTATGACTTGCATTCAAAGAGTTTTTGGGAAGTTGACAAATAACATGTCTTTAAACTTTTTTACGTGCTTTTTTACGTGATTTCCTCTGAATGTACACAAGGCGCAGTGCATGCGTGTTTACGTCAGCAGCACCACACGCATGTGTTGTTTACATGCAGATCAAAGCACACACAATCGCACATGCATCATGATACTCTCCAAAATGGACGCGGAGGAGAAGAATTGTTGAATAAAGTTATTATTTTTGTTTTCTTTGCACACAAAAAGTATTCTCGTAGCTTTGTAAAATTACGGTTGAACCACTGATGTCACATGAACAATTTTAACGATGTCCTTAATACATTTCTGTGCCTTGATCGTGGTAGTACCCTTGCTGTCTATGGAGGGTCAGAGAGCTCTCGGAGTTCATCAAAATTATCTTAATTTGTGTTCCGAAGATGAACAAAGGTCTTATGGGTTTGGAATGACATAAGGGTGAGTAATTAATGACAGAATTTTCATTTTGGGGTGAACTATGCCTTATAAGCCATATATATATATATATATATATTTGAAAAAAATTATTCAATTGTTTTAGAACAATAACATGTCAAAAAACAAGAATTGTCACTACATTCAAGTCCAAATTTGGATGTTTTATTGTTCACCATGAATGACCATTTTTGCTTAAAATATCCTAAAAGTTATAACTACAGTAAAAAAGGTAAGATTTTTTTAAAATGTCTTTAAAAAGCCTAACCAATTCTTCATTTATTTTATTTAAAAAAAAGTAAAAACAGTAATATTTCTAAATATTATTGCAATTTAAAATTGTTTTATATATTTATAAAAACAATTAAAAATTAAAATCAGCATTTATTTGAAATATAAATATTTTGTAACATTATAAATGTCCTTACTGGCATTCTTTTGAACAATAGTGCATTCAGACTTTAGCATTGCAGCTGAGCATTACATTTTCCTATTAGCATATGAGCTTTAAAACAGTCATTAGCATTATTAAAAAGTAACTTATTATGAAAAGAGTCAATATATGCAAAAAGGACAGTATTTTGAAAGTATAAAAACTAGTTGTGATGTGTTTCATTATTACCTTTTGCATGATGCCTTTCTCATAGTAATAGCGCAACGATCTGCTAAGTTTGTCGTAGTTCATGGCAGGCCGATTCTTTTGAATTCCCCAACGTCGCGCCACCTTTGAAGCAAAGGGAATACGTTGTTACAAATGAAGGTACTGCAAAAATATAGAAGTTTCTCTCAAACATTACACAAAGATAAGACCTAACACCCACTAAACTAGCTCACACAAGGGCCCTCCTCAAAAACAAAGCACTGACGGGTCTATAGCTAAACCTTGTCAGGGGTGAAATACAAGTCGGCGTCCTCTCATTGGCCACAGCCGTGTACTCATACCTCTAGTCAGAGATGTGTTCATTAGGAACAGCAGATTGTGGCAGATGTTCCTGCACCTGTCCGCACGACCACCCACCTGTGCCCCCCTCCTTTTCAAATCTCCCTCCCACAGCCCGGCGCTGTGGGCCTTTTTCACTCTACTGCGGCTCATTCACGCCTTGCACCCGCCCAGACAATCCCAACGGCCCACAGTCACCTGATGGCATGAATGACTCCCCTGTTCCCTACAGCTGCCCTGTGGACCAACGCCAGTACACACACACACACACATACACACATACAGGACTAACAAATCCCACTGTTGCCGACACTTTACACAAACACACCTTTGTCCGTGCTTTCCAAACACTTCGGACTTTTTGGAGAGTCGACATGTTGAAATACTTTATTTTTTTGGATGGACATGACTGGCGCTTTTGAACACACAAATAAAGAGACTCTCTAGGAATCAAAACTTGCATATAGCGTGGAGATATTTTAAATTTAGTAAAGATAATCAGATAATGATGTAATTAAGCAATATATCATGTCCTAAAATTATTGTAACCCTATAAAGCCAACTGTATCATATTTGATGCACAAAATTTAAAAGCCTTTAAATTATTAGCATGATTCAAACTTTGCTGAAAAGCAACTGTAGCATATTTTTGCTCAGTTTGGGCCTCTGAATAAAACTGAGGTGTTTTATTTTTCCCCAAATATGAGCTCCATATTCTCCTATATCTTAATATATGAACCATAAAAGCCTGAAGTATCAAATATGATATTCAGCAAAAAACCCTGTGCATTAAAAAAATATATAGGCTCAATAAACTGTTCCATTAAAAAAGAAAAAAAAAAAAAAAAAAAAAAGATTTTTTCCAGTTATTTTTTTCATGTCAGGTTTTATAGGGGGTTAAATTTTTAGGGAAAAAAAATACTTATTTTAGTTCCTTTAAATTATTAATGTCCTAAAACAATTTTTATTAAATCCCACAAACACAATGCACACCATATACAGATAAAATCTTGGTTGAAAAATGTACTTTTGAGGCTAGTTTGTACCTCCTCGGGCTCAATGAGTTTAAACTCCATGCCCCGGCCTGTCCACGCAATGAAGTGTGAGTTTGAGGGGTCATCCAATAGGGCCACCAAAAACTGCCAGAGCTGCAGCGAGCCTCGTCTCTGATAGGTCGGGCCTTCACGGTACAGCCCCGCCTCCTGCTTTATATCACCTGTGGGAGGAAAAATGACAAAAGACGTTAGCTCACATAGCCAATCCTATAACGCCTATGGGCTAGACATCATCATGGTGAAACTGGGCATAAACAAAAATACAATAAAAAGTAAAGTAATGGCACAGCCTTCAATGGATAAAGTTGTCATTTTTATATGTTACATGTCGGGAGGCTCATACAGTATTCAAGACTATAGATGAATGTACAGTAAAGAGTCAACTTATTATTTAATAAATAATATTTAAGTCAGCGCATAAATATACGTAAATAAATAAATAAATACATACTTTCAACCTTCTCTGGTACCACGCAAGTGTCATCATAGAAGTGCCTTGCAACTTTGTCGAACATGCATCCTATTGAGTAAAGACATTGAGATATTGTTATAATCTGACTTTTTACATGAAATAAAACTTCAAATTAGACATTTTAAATAATAAAATAGCCATATAAGATCAAATATATTATACTGCGTGGATAGTTACCCTCTGTTCTGTTATTGTGGGCCAGATATCCTTCTTGTCTAAGATATACAGAGTGACAGCTAGGCACTTCTGAAAAAGGAAAACGAAACAAAAAAAGCATTTTAAAAAGCGGAAAAAAATTATGCATGGGTTCAGCTAAAAACGAAAACTTATATTTATTTATTTATGCATTTATTTATTTGCTTACTATTATTTTCCATTTTAAGACAATGGAAAAAAATCCCCAGGACAACATCCCATTTTATATTCAAAAGAGTAGGTTAAAACATTATGGACAACAGATTTGTGAGGATTAACCGCAGTGGACGCCTTGTGCTCCGCGTCAGTCGTGTTGTTTGTTGGAGATGTGATTCAATCAAAGCAAAGCAAGACAGCTTAAGTGAATGCTCCATAAAACTTCTAACCCTGTTCATTTGGACCTATAAAGATCTCTCAGGGTTTCATTCAAGTGATGGGCCTGTCGAGGAAACTACCGCTGATTAAATTAGCAGCTGACTGCCCAGTCCTTACACAGCTCACAACAAACAAACTCCTTTATGAGGCAGAATAAATTCTTCTAAATGGCTGGGCGGGGATGCAAAACATGTCGATGATCTCCTCCACTGATGTAAAGAACCGATGCAGACAAATCACTCGCACTCACAAAGCTCTCATCACTTAATTTGTTAGCTTTTAGTGTGTCTAATTTTATAGATAATAATTGGACAATATGTTATAGATAATAATATCGACATACAATGTAAAAGTTAATGCACTAACAATTATTTAGGAACTGTCAGAATATCTGTTGTAAATATTAATTTTAAAATAATAATAATAAACAATTGTAATTAAAAAAGTAATTTTATGAACTAAATGTAAGAATAACTTTTATATTGTTAGTAATATTTCAAGATGAACACATACTGGACTAAAGCATACTGTATAATATAAAGTTTAGCATAAACTAATGGTCTGTTGTAAATGTTAATTTCAGAATAATAATAAAACATATTTTGTTTTAAAAATATAATAAATTAGATTATGTTGCTTTGATATTAAGTAAACAGAACAGGCCCTAGTATTACTGCTATTATCCTCAGGTTATATTTTACAGATTCACATTATCAACAGGAAACCGCTGAGAAGCAGTGCTGCCTTCTTTCCTGACAGGCGGCTGCTTCCACCTCCATTTTTTATGAATGAAAACCAAAAGCCTCTTCATTCATGCCAGAGCTGGGCCGACAGCCTGGGGGCCCCTGGGGGAGAGATTAGGGCCCCCTCTCCTTTCCAGCCAGGCCCTCAGGAAATGAGATCAGGCCCAAATTTCCTAATAGCACCCTAATTCTATCAATCTCCCTGTCCCTAATAAAGTTGCTATCTGGCTGTATGAGTACCCAAAAGAAAACAAAAGAAAAATGATCTTCAGACTGTTTCCTGTTAGTTTAGTGAAGTACATACTGTCTCCATATCCTTATAAATCTTGCTTTATTCATTAATTCTATTTGTTTATTTTTCTGTTTAATTATTTAAACTTTAGGGTCTTTTCATGTTTTTGAAACACATGATTTTTTTGCACAAAATACAGTAATGTGAAATATTTTTACAATTTAAACGGTTTTCTATTGTAATATATTTTTAAAAAGCTGAATCTTCAGCATCATTACTCCAGTCTTCAGTGTCACATGATCCTTTAGAAATCATTCTAATACGCTGACTTGGAGCTCAATAAACATTTCTTTTTATTATCAGTGTTGAAAACAGTTGCGTGACCTAACATTTTGTAGAAATGTTACAAATCGAGCAATATACTGCTCTGTCAGTATTAGCAGACTTGTAAACGTATAGAAACGAAACTCACCTGAGTCGTAGGTGAAGTCGCGAGGCTCTTGTTTGATCATCATGGAGTGCGGGTACGTCTGGGGGAGCGGCGCCCCCACCATGGCCGAATGTTCGAAGAGGGGGTCTCCGTACTCCTGCTTGAACCCCTGAGGAGGGAAGGGGATGCTGGGTTCTGACATCTGTCTGTGATACATGGGCCGTCCGTCCCGCGACATCGAATGAGAGGGGAACGAATGACACGGCTCCGACAACTGCCTCCGAAATCTGTACAAAACACTGAATAGAATAAGTATCACGCATGATATCTATCTATCTATCTATCTATCTATCTGTCTGTCTGTCTGTCTGTCTGTCTGTGTCTGTGTCTGTGTCTGTGTCTGTGTCTGTGTCTGTGTCTCTGTCTGTCTGTGTCTGTGTCCGTGTCTCTGTCTCTGTCTGTCTGTCTGTCTGTCTGTCTGTCTGTGTCTCTGTCTCTGTCTGTCTGTCTGTGTCTCTGTCTGTCTGTCTGTCTGAGTGTTTTGGTAATTGGCAGTACCTGTGGTCCATGGGGTAAGCGCTGTCAGGGAGGGGCTGTGGGGGTGCGAGGTGAGGGTACGTCCTGTCTGGTTTCGGGGTGGGGGCGGCAGTGGGAGACACATGCTGGCCAGGGGACACGGGCGTGCTGCAGGGGGTAGACACTGGGCTGGAGGCCTTCATTCCCGAGGGATGCTTCTGCTTGTAGGCACTGGAGACACCAGGGAACAAGAGCAGTTTAAGTTAGTCTTTCCTGAGGGCCTTTCACGCTACTGAGATTATTATGAGACTGTGCTCAACTTTATTGCTGGAAAATGTAAAAAATTGTAAAAAACATAAACGCTAAAACTTTTTGTCTGCAGCATACTTTATAAAGCATGCTAAACTGGTATTTCAAAAATGGCTGGAAATGATTTTTAAAATATATTTTTTATATCTTTTGAATTACATGTTTTTAAAGGGGAAAATTGATTAAAAATGTTAAAAAATAATACTGATAAAAATAAAAAATTATAAAAATATGTATAACAGCAGATTTTATTTATCTGTTGAACCATTGTGAAAAAAAAAATCATAAGACTAAAGCTATTACAATTATAATTTATACAATAATAGTAACAATAAAAAATTCTAATTAAAATAAATATATAATATTTACTAAAATATAATTGTAATTTATTGCTTAAAAGTTTGGGGTCAGTCTCTTACGTTAACCAAGTCTGCATTTAATACAGTAAATACAGTAATATTTTAAAATACTATTACAATTTAAAATAACTGTTTTCTATTTTAATATATAATCAGTTTACAAAGACCCACACACATTGAAAAACAGTAAAGGATGCTGCGAGCTCACCTGAATGGGGAAGAGTCTGCCTGGCACCTGCAGAACAGGTGCACTGTTGAAATAGCTGGAGAAGAGTTTGATGTTGATGGTGGCCGACATGAGGACCAGCCGCAGGTCTGGGCGCAGGGGCAGTAGGGAACGCAGCACTCCCAGCAGGAAGTCACAGTGCAGGTGTCTCTCATGCACCTCGTCCACGATCAGCACCTGGTACTGGCCCAGGGAAGCGTCCCGCTGGATCTGCCGGAGCAGGAGACCCTCGGTCAGGAACAGCAGTTTGGTAGCTGTGGTGCGGCTGCTCTCAAAGCGGATCTGGTACCCAACCTGAAGATAGAACATACAAGACAAAATGTTTTCCCAACTAATTTTCACTTAGAATTAAAAAATAGTGTATATATATATATATATATATATATATATATATATATATAGATGTATATACTATACATTTTGACCTCTTATGTGCAGGAATTGTTCTCATAGTTCCATAATCTAACAAAAAAATCCCACAATTCCCCACATCTATCCTTTATCCATCCAGCTCTCCACCCCTCACATGCCACAATCGACAAGGTACCAAAGAGAAACCATCTGATATCTTGTCAGATATGAACCTTAACGCAATTACACTCCATTCAGAAACATTAAAAGACAAGGAAGGAACAGGCTTCTATGGGGCTTGACAATCTCCAAAGCACCTCTGAAGAGAACATCATTATCACAGAGGTTGTTGGTTCAGCTTGAGTGCCATCTGCAATACGAGGGTAGGTTGGCTCCTCCAGCGAAATACATCCAGGTGAAATGTCATAAATTTAAAATCAAATCAATAGGAAGATGACTGTAACCAAGCAACCGTGTTTGCCATAGACGCTTGTCCAAGTGGAAAAGCCATTTATTGCACTTAATGCACCGTAGTTCAGTGTCACATGATTCTTCAGAAATCATTCTAATATGCTGATTTGCTGCTCAAGAAACATTTTTATTACCATTGTTGAAAACAGTGCTTCTTAATATTTTAGTGGAAACCATTGTGCTTTTTTTCAGGATTCTCTCATGAATAGAACGTTAAAAAAGCAGCCTTTATTTGAAACACATCTTTTGAAACAGTATGTGTTTACTGTCATATTTGAACAATTTAATGCATTGCTGAATAAAATTAGACGCTTGTCCAAGTGGAAAAGCCATTTATTGCACTTAATGCACCGTAGCGTAATTTCTTGTTTTTCTTTTTTTGTGTTTTCTTCCCCCTTTCCAATTTCAGGTGGTTCTCATTCAAATCATTTCGAACAGCACCTGCTGTACAGTTGCCTTTGAGTAAATAACTAAAGGAAAACTATTATTATTGTGCTTTTTTTCCATAAATCTTTAAGACTATTCTTGGCTCAGGCTGAAAAGTCACATCTATGCCAAGTCCCCATCTGCGTTAGGGCTGTTCTGTCAAATGAACGTCTGTGCTTTTATTCAGCCTTTAGTCACATATAAAAGGTGAAACACACACCCACTGTAACATCATAGTGTCGGAGGTGAATCTGTGCTTTATGCAAAGCCCTGAAAATTCAGCGTCACGAGCAGCGTGATTAACAAACCCAACATTTGCATTCAGAAATTAGGTTTTTAATTCAGAAATCTGTAATTAGGAAAATAACACCCTAAATTGACAAATAATAGCTAAAAATAGTTTGTTAAACGGTAGCGTTATTGCAAATGTATGTAGACATATTCGGCCCATTTATCACTTAACTCTCTCACTCCAGATGCCGAGGCTGAATTTGCAAACCAAAATATGTGATGTTAGTGTCTCTCTGACAGCTGAAAGTATAAAGTTTAGAGTTGATTTTCACTGCTTTGGTGCAAAAACACTTATGGTTTCACGCAGACGTCGCAGTCTAGCATGTCTAGCGTTCGTCTCGTTACTACCGGTATTTTCTTATAACACTTGATGCATGTAAGTTATATAATCATTTAGTGTCATATACAAGATTTGATTATTTTATGTGGGTTTCTGTGAACGCTACCTGATGTTATACAGGCACTTCTCCCCATAGTGGATTCTGAAGGGCCTCTCCTGACTGCAGGCTGAGCCCAGATCAGTACACGGACTGTGGGGCTCTCTCTTTATCCTCAACTGCAGCCCGTGGAACGCCACTGAGAAAGAGACAAACGTTTAGACGTTTAAACAGAACACCAAGATCCTCACTAAATTCATTAATCAGAGGATGCAGAAGTGTCATTTTAAACTGCAATCATTCTCACACAAGGCATCTGCAGATGAAGTTGAGAAGACTTTACAACGTGGTTTACATTTTTGTATGCATTCACCAAAAATCATTAGATTTCTGTTTGCATGCAAAAAGTTTGTGTTTTCAGCAAAGGTTTCTTGCAACTCACATAAACAAGGACAGGTGGATATGTAATAAAATACTTTTTATATAAAAATCTGCATCAATTCAGTAACCAAATTCCATTAAAATCATCTTTAAAGCCACATTTAGTATTGTTTTTCTTCAGCACACAGGAATGAGATTCTTGACATTCAGTAATTTGAATGACAGCTGTTGTCAAGAAGTGTTACTAATGTATTTAAACATTTCTGCTTCTAAAGGTAATCTTTGAAAACATGAAAAAAGGGAAGAAGAATAAAAGCATAAATAGAAAGTGCTTCATTTATTTGATGAAATTGGTGTAATCTCAAAGTTAAGAATAAAAATATCAATGTCTAAAGTAAAAAACCTTCATTTATTTGAAATTTTAAATGGTCTTGTTAGGATGTGTCGTTGTTCATGATAGTGGATTCTAAAAGTAGCAGTATGGATTAATAATTTATACTTGAGAAGACTTCTTGACGGACCATATTAAGAAGCACGTAGACAGACGAAAGGGAAAAAATGCCATAATTGATTTTACGCAAAGGAATACGAGTAAACGAATCAATACAAAATCTGTTAGCATCAGAGGACGTCATACGTGCAGGATGCCATTCCAGGATTGCAACAATTACACGTTCATTGATTGGTGTTAATGGACAGCATTTTCAAGAAGTCGTTTATGACATTTCCTTTCAATTTTTTGTGTTCTTGCAATTTATGAGATGCATTTAAAACCCCCTGAGCACGTCAGATGACAACTGAAGTGCACACCTCCAAAAAAACAAAAAAAAACTCATTGACTAAAATAAAGAGCTATTATAAAATCAAAAGAACATCTTGAGTACTGCAAAATATTCATTTCTGAATCTTAACTTGTTATGCAAAATATTCACAAATTATTTCCATTATGACGTTGCTTCTGTTTTCATTCCTCAAAAAGTTTCATTTCTTTCCTTAAAGCTGCGCTCTAATAGATTTCATTTTCATAAATCAATAGTCTTTTCTCTGCCAAATGCTACCGAACAGCATTTTCACTGCTTCCTGTGTTACATAAAAGTGCATTTGGGTAAAAATCACAACTGTTTCTAAGTGTCTAATAATGTTTTTTTTTTCTGTGCTGATGGTCGTGCGTTTTCTCACCCTTCTCTCTTTCTCACTCTCACCTCTTCGCTGACTGTTACTCGCTGATAATAGATTCAGTCACACCTTCTTCTTAAACACTGGGCTTGAATTAAGATGGCCTTTACAAAAGGGCAAATAACTCAAATATAATCACTGTTGGATCACACTTCCCCAGCCACAAATCACTATTATATTAATGCTTTAAACGATTGATCTTTTACAGTACCAGTTCTCTTAACAATTACAAATGCATTCAAAAAAAAAAATATATATACACTACCATTCAAAAATGTGGGGTCGGAAAATTTTTAATGCACTTAACGCTCACCAAGGCTGCATTTACTTGATAAAAATACAGTAAAACAGTAGTATACTAACATATTTTAAAATGTCATTTATTCCTGTGATGGCAAAACTGAATTTTCAGAAACCAAGTATGCTGATTTGGTGTTTCGTTTTCAGAAATAATTCTAATATGCTGATTTGGTGCTCAATTTCTTATTATTGTCAATGTTTCAAACACTTGTGCTGCTTTTTTAGGATTTTTTGATGAATAGAAAGTTCAAAATAACTATTTTTTATTTATTTAAAATGATTTATTTGCATATTTACTGTCACTTTTGATCAATGTAATGCATCCTTGCTAGCTAAAAATATTAATTCTTTAAAAAATACTTTTAAATGGTAAAAGTAAACAACACATACAGTATATTACAAATCTTTAAATGATAAAAATAATTTCACAAACAACCAGTTTATCAGGCCACACACGTCTAGTGCGGTTTGAGAGGTGTTCTGGCTGTGTTATCCCTGTATATCCCATTTCGAGGTGTTCTGTGGGAATGGACCACATGAAACGGAAGTGATCCACTGGCATTGTCGACTCAGACCCATATGGGAGGGCCAGGATGCCCGTTCAAGAGCCCAACCGCCATGCCCTCGCTCTACCTCCATCTGCCTGTCCCTCCTCTCCTCCACTATCCTGCCGACAACGCCAACTAACACCCTGCAGTTACATTGTTTTTGCTTAAATATACATATTGAAATTAAATAATATATCGACACAAAAAAAAGGCATCCTTTAGTGACATTTAACTTCACATTTGTCACAGCCTACGCTCACAATAAAGTCTAAGGAAGGGATACAGGACAATGGTGCATTATCAGCAAACACTAGTATATTTTATTTGCCTAATGAGCTTGAGTTCTCTAGAAAGACAAAGCCCTCCTTCTTCTCCCCTACATCCTCAGTAGCAGAGTCTGTTTTGGCTCCTCTTTAAGACATAAGCTGGACTCGCTCCCCACTGTGCCTCATTCAGTCCATGCCACTTCCGACACTGGCACTGGCTCTGCCACGACCACTGCGCGCCAACTTTACTTCCTATGCCCATTTAAAGGCCTATTGCTTCTGGCTGCACTCGCTGAGAAGGTACACAACCCAGAGAACACACGCCGCTCGCGCTCTCTCTCTCTCTGTTTATTCACAGAAACGCCAGCGGCGAACGACAACATGTCGCAAACAAATTTTCACACAAAATCATCAAATTTGAGCTTCTTTTAGAGTCAGAAGTCACTTTGCAAAATTTTATTTTGTAGAGCAACAGTAAAATAAAAAAAGGTCACACTTACAGTTTTCACTCTGAAAGTCTGGAACAAACTGCTCATCATTGTCAGGAACTTGAGCTGGGAGAAAAATAAGAGAGAAAAGGGTAAATAAACATTTTTCTTTCATAATTATTATAGTAGGTTTCCACAAGTCATTCTAACACAATCTCTACTCTAACAATCACTTTAATGAGTTATTTCCTCTAATAATCCTCTGTAATTGAAACACTAATGATCTGAAATTCTCAGACCAACCCATAAAGACGTTTATTGGTTTAAAACAGACAAAACATATCCTCTAATCACGTCAGTAATTTAATTTGTTGGACAAAGCAGGCTCTTGCGTGTGAAATGCATCCCATATCTGTCTCAGCCTTTCGCTTTTGATGTAATTGTGTCTTAAAATAAAATAAAACAAACCAGGCAACCAAAGGAAAAACACCTTGCCTTGTGATCAAATGTGCTTTACGCAGCGTCTTCATTAGGATAGCCATGCAGCGAGAAAACACCTATTGTTCACACTATCTAATTGGGACACATCCCCACTGGTGAATGCACCTGTACCTGCCGCGACGGCTGGCGTCCAAACAGAGCACGTTCCCCTACCTTTCCCTCTCTCGTAGCTAATGCTAAAATAATGAAGCCTTCATACGGAGCTCAATTAAGCACATTCATGTTTATATCACATGCGTTTGCACTCTTGCAAGACTTCTGTTGTTTATTGCTTGTTCAGCTTGACTCAAAGGAGAGCACGAGACCTCGCTGCACGGGGCTATTAGCACGTTTATTCCTCTGCGCTAAAATTGGATTTTCATTTTCACAACAGTAACAAGTCGCAACACGCACAAATCGACATTCGCTTTGTGTAAGGCAACAAGTTTTGCTCGGCTACTTGGCTTTTCGGCTTTCTTTTTGGAAATGGGAGTGCTTTCTCATGTCTGTGTAAATTGTGATGCATTCATACAGTATATGAAGTCAATATGGGAGAATTTTTAACTGGAAAAACGCTTGTGATTTTTATGTGTTAAATAATATAGATGAGACTGGGCTACACCGTAAATGTAAAATGTTCTAAGTAGTAAATAAGACTTTATTGGAGTACATTTCGCAATAAAATCTATTTTAGTAGTCGCTCTACTTCAAAATTTCACTACTTGCTGTTTCTATTAAATTATTTAATGGCAATTTCAAAGTAAAAACACCAAATTATTTTCAGAGCAGCAGTCATAAGGTTTTTATCTTAATACTTTTGTAGATTTTTAAGTCAAAACTCTAATTCAGACAAGAGTCAACTACATAATGAAGATATATTTTATTACTGAAAAGTTCAAATATAATAGATTTTTTAAATATATAACTGTCATGTCAGGGCAAGTTGACACATACGCTATAAATCAATTTTGTGTGTGTGTGTGTTACTTTTTGCATTTTTGCTGTTTCAAAATGTATTGTTTCATATTTATTTTATTGTTTAAAATTCTGGTAAAAAATACTTAATTGCAGGCTTTTCTGTGACAACTGACCACACAGAGGTCCACATGTATTTTATGAACTGTATTTTGTTTTATTAAGTTATGTTTCTGAGCAATAATGGTTAAAATAGAAATAAATAATACATATAAATGTGTGTGTATATATACAGGAATCAACTGTCATAAATAAACCCACACTATTCACTTGAGTAAAAAGTGTGACAACTAGCCCCAGTCTGTTCTATAACTGAACAAATCAGCACCAATTTATCTTTACGGTATTTCTCAGTGTTTTGAAAAGGCAAGTCGAGCACAACCGCAGCAGACGTCTTTACTGGTTGAACTCAACAAGAAATACCACCACCATTTCTCTGGCTGGTTCCAAAGCAAACACAATCAAAGAAATATCAACAAACCCCTCTCCAGATCAGAGGAGAATGAACAAGTGCATTAAGAGTCAGAAAGGTAGCGCAAACATCAGTTAAAGAGAGAAAAGGTGAGAGGAAGGGAGAGACTGAGCGCAGCAGCCAGTATTCTCAGCAGGGTGAATGAGTCAACCTGTGAATGGGACAGCTGATCCCAGCACCACTCCTGAGGCTAGCTAAGGTGTTGGAGCATGTCCACCAGTTAAAGAAAAAAAGAGAAGAGCAGAGAACACACAAACTGCAGCGCCAGGCCGTGAACGGCGCAAATCCAGCGCCATAAAGAGAGTTCATAATCACCTCTCTGCCAGACAAAGAGGAAAAGATGCAGAGAAATCAGATAAAGTTCACACTAGAAAACAATGAAATCAAAAACCGACTGGTAAAGCCAATAAACTAAATATTCAGTGTACGTTTTCTAGACATAATAAGTGACTGTCAGCTGTCTCTGGCCAAAATGACACATGTACGTCAAATGACGAGCCATCAGCTCTTTAGTCTACGCTGCCGGAAATTCTGTCCGTCGCTCATCCGTCTTCCTCTTCTTTCCAATTACCTGAGCTAATAAATCTCTGAAATGAAACCGCTAGGTCTTCGTTTGGGTTCTAATGGACAGGAAGTCATATATTAAATCTATCTGCGATTTATCTCGAATCTTTGGGCGCTGCGGCTGATGGATGGAAGACAGGTTGAATTGTACTCCTCACTGTAATATCTACTGCAGCGACTACTTTTTTTTTTCCCCCTGCCGGATACACTAAAATATTTAAGTCATGTCTAATTCTTTTAGAGGCCCTGGGGTGGATTTGGCATAATCAAACTCACGACAAGGAGAGTAAAGTCCGAAATCTGTTCTAAAGCGTACTTTTAATTTTCAAATCCACAATTGTACTGCAAGCATTTTTAAATACATTAAAGAATATATGAAAGCTGTCTATTAAAAATGAAGCTTCTCTTTCCTTATGCAGCTGGGCAATGTTAGATTACTTCCTTATATTTTAGATGTTTGGTTTTAAAAGCTGACCCGTACACACAACAGTGTCCTGTGGTGCAGCTGTACTAAAGCATATTTCAGTGAAGATATTTGAGATGATACTAAATAAAAAGATACTTGATTAAGTAGCATAAGTCAGACTTTCATGTGGCATTTAAAAATTCAGTCACACAAGCCAGATGTAATGCAATCACTAACAGAAAACAGACACACACTCATCTTCATTTCCTCTTTTTGTCCAAAGTGCACGCAAATGCATTCCATAGGCTGAAAGGCAGCTGGGATTTCACAAATGCAAAGCTCTGGGATCGGTTTTACAAACTGCTTTGCATGATTTTCAGCTGTCTAACTACTTTGTTTTTTCTTCTCAATTTGCAACCAAACTGACAAATAAACAGACAAAAGGCTGTTATGTCTATCATGATTTGCGACTTATATTTTAAACTTTTTCACAGCCTAAATTAATTTATAACAATAATAAAATCCCACAAAGCTTATTTACATTCTGCTAAAAATGGAAACATGACAGTATAATTGCAGCCAACTATATATGAATATTTATACTTTTTTTTAGCAAACTAAAAAAGTTATTTAACTCGAAAAATAAAACTGATTATCAGTTAAAATTCATTTGCATGCACATAATCAGTTTAAGGTTTTCTAAATGTATAAATGTCCTCAACATTTTAATAATGTTAAAACTTTTCAAAATCATTCACTTTTTGCAGCCAGAAAAAAAATACTTCTTAGTAATATTTGCAATGTTTCGCAGCACTAAAAATCTCAGTTTAAAGTAAAACTTCACACACCAAAAAAGTCTTAACATTTTGAAGACAAGCAAAACCTTATTTTTTTAACATCAGATTTGACAGTTTACCATTTAGAAAATTTTAACATAACATTGTTAGGAATGTAAAATTTTACATTTTGAAGACAAGAAAAACATTACATTTTTAACATCAAAATGTTTGCCATTTTACAATTTTTATTACATTAAAATATTTCCAAACACATTAACAATCAACCAAAGAGTGAACCATTTACTAACCTAAAGGTCGGTGCTGCAAGCAAGGTGGGAAGAAGACACTCGCGCTTAACTCCTGAAGCATCACGTTTGAGTTAGACCACAACCAGCATGTCTTGCCATGAGAAACAAAAAATTACCAGAAACAAGCAACAACAAAAAAGTTGGGGGGAAAAAAACGAATCTCTAAAAGTTGAAGCTCTTGAAGCGATCTACCGTCAATCCATTTCTTTAACAAAAAGAGTTACAAAAATAAAGAAAACAAAGAAAAACCTAATATACGAGAAGTATCAGATGAGAAAGAGAGGGATACGAAAAAGAAAACGAGTGAGGGAGAGAAGGTGTGCGCGTGAGAGAGAGGTGGCAGTGTTGGTGGCTCGTCTGCCTTAGCTCCTGCCAAAAGCGGACGAGAGGAGAAGAGAGTGAGCGAGACTGCAAGTTCTTCTGGTAATTTGTGATGACACTCAAAGTAGAACCTCCTCGGTCTCCCCCTAGACTCCTGCTCTTCTCAAGCACTAATGTATGCATGACACACCAAGTGCCTTCGCTACAGATGCATTAATTGGACTGCAGATTAGATCTGTAACTTGAGGCATATTTGCTCCCCCCCTCCCCCCCCACGCTCTCTCCGCTTCTTCAGCTTCAAAACAAAAGCTTGATCAACCACTGAGAAACCTTGAGCGAGACTGAAGGAAACAGACCAGAGCTTACCTTCAGCGCGCCAGGTCTCCTGAAGTTGGCTGAGATCTTGAAACAGCTCTAAAAACAAAGACAGCAGAGTTTGAGATGGCGAAACAACAGGTACAAAGCTTTAATTATGAGTTTTGACCCTCAGCACCTCTCGATTTCAGTCTCAAAGCCCTCTGAAGACTGAGGCGAGCGCAGCTGATTGAGATTTTAAAGCCCCGAGTGCAGGTGGCAACGAGCGATATTGCATTTTGTGAGATGTTAAGAAGGCGTGAAATGAACATTGTCTTTTTCACCCACACCTGAGTGCTTACCCTCGGTGTCCAACGCCAGGTCAGAGTTAATGAATTTTCTTTTCCTGTCCTTCGCTGGTCTCGTGTTGGACGTCTTTCCCCGAGGATTCTAAGCAGAAAGCAACAGATCAATTGTCTCAAATGAAGATGGAGTGTGTAGAGTTTGCTTTTGAAAGACATGCAACACACAACTGCAGCTTCACTCATCATGCTTACTGCTAATATATGAGATTCTTTAGTTAGTGGCTCTTTTGACTTGTTTGAAATCTTTAAAAATGAAATATAAAACTGTGTTTTTTATTAGATGATCATGGCCTTGATCAACCCTCAAGTGGAGTTTTGATTTTGATGGATTTTTTTTTTTTTAGGAAAAAGTTGAATAAGTCTTGTTCTTACTATACTAACCCAACATTGAAGAAGAAAGTCGACAATTTTTTTTTTTTTTTAAGTCTCAAAAACTGAGCTGTTTGGTAATGACACCTAGTTTTAAAAGTTCTAAAAAATATTTTTTTTTAATTTTTAAAATCTTCACTTCTCATTACCATCATAACACAGTTTTTTTTGAACAATTATTTTGTAAAATGCATTTGTGACTGTAATAAAAGTGTCATACTTTATTTAAAAAAATGTAAACTGCAGAACTGAAAATATGATTTTCTTAGGGAAAAAGTGAAAAATAGAATTTCCTTTATTTGACACAATTTAAATATATTATATAGCGGACGTTATAAGGTCCAAAATATAGCAATTCTGGTATTTAACTAGTTTAATACACAATAACAGGATTCACAGCAATTACAGTGAATACTTTTAAACTGTCAATGATTATTAATGTCTTCGAAATCAGTCCAGAAGTTTCCCTAAAGTGAAGAAACACACACATATAAATGACAGACCTGCCACGTTACGGTTTGAAAAACGCAGATTCTCCTCATCGGTCACTTATATGACAGATACATATTTACAATCATGGAGAGCACTGATTTACCTTCATCAGACTTACATGAGATTTTATGAAAGGCACTTGTTGGTCGTAAAGTCCGTCCATTCTCTGAGCGCGCCGTCCGATCACCCTTTGAAGTAGGAGACTGACTTTAAGCGAATTATTGGAGATGGAACATGAACTGCTGCGCGCTCGAGCGCATTCAGCGGCTCCATTCATAAACATATCTTTCATTTGACCGACTACATGCTGACTATTATGAAACAGACATTAAATGCATCAGATCCGTGACACTTTATAGATAAAGTTGCAAGTGTCCTAATGTAAATATGTTGCGGTGCTGTGCGTGCGTAACGCGGTGAGCCGATCCTCCGAAGGGACTGGACTTTTGGAAACTCTTTTTTTTCTGTTTCTAGTTACGTTTTACTGAAGCGTCGAAGGTGATGTAGAACTTAAAGCTTGCACTCACCCCAGTAAACGCACCGCATTCATGCATGGATGTGTCGCCGGACTGAATGAGAAAAGCGCTCTCGTGTCTCTCCTCCGCGCTCAAGTCAACACACACTCGCTGCATGCTGCTCCAGGGGCCTCCCTTCAGAAACAGCCGGCGCCCCGCTTCCCATTGGCTGCCACTGTCCTCCGCCGGATCAGATTTCCACCCGTCAATCAAGAGCCTATTTCACCGTTCCTTCATTAAAATATGCAAAACTGATATTGCAATTATAAGGTGTTTATTTATGAGAAACACAGCACGTCCTTATAATTTCTCTTGTGGCTAGATGTTTTGGAAATGATGTGCATAAAAATGCACACAATCTTTGGATGCTGTTTATAAGGCTTACAAATTACCTAACAGCTTTGGGCAAGCTGAAAAAGCTTCCAAACTTTCAAAGAATGAAATAAACAGGCATATGCTCAGAATGGCCACAGCAATATTTTCAAAAAGGATTTGTTAGGCGTAAATCTTAGACAATTTAATGCAGTGGTTCTCAACCTGGGGGCCATGGCCCCCTAGAGGGCCTCAGCAAACTTCCAAGGGGGCTCTGAAATTATGGGTTGAAATAAGGGAAAAAGCTGAGACAGAAGACGAGCACAGATGAGTGGTCAGTTATACAGTGTTGCCATGAGTCAATATTCCAAAATACTTGACCAATCAGAATACATTTATTCCAAATAGCTGTGTGATGAGTTATACATACTGTAAAAAATATGCTAAAAAATCAAATATAAATAAAAATATTATTAAAATTATTCAATTTTTTTAAAATTATTGAGTTTTTTACTTGTTCTTTCTTTGTAATGGTTTATGAAATTTACAAGTAATTTGAAAATTGTTTCTAGACTTGTTTTATATAAATAAATATAGTAGGTTACAACATGCTCTCACAGTTTTTTTTTTTTGTATGCAGTAAACAGATTTTTCAATTTCCATTTTTCATTACCATAGGTTTCGTTACTGTAACCTTGTTTTAATTTTAATTAAATGAATAGACAAATATACACAAAGATGTTCATTCTCAATAATCGTAATAGCAAGAAAGAACAACAAAAAAGATTAACAATGAATCACTTAGACTGGTATTTTAATTTGATTTAATCTAAATGAGTCTTTGTGGATGACTATTTGAATATATATTATTTGAATATTTGTGCTAACTATATAGGGTGAGGAGGATCTTTTCCCCCCATAACACCTATGATTATAGATATGCTTTCACACCTTATCTGACCTTTGAGATAAAGTTCATTATATCCATTTACATGCAACATATTTAACACATGCTAAAAGTGTCGGTCCGGTGTTTCCTCGTGTCAAAGCTCTAATCACGTCATTAAGAAACATCTAACATGTCACTTTTGCAGGATCAGGTAAACCAGCACATAAACAGAGGAACTTCCATTATAGGGAACTGATGGAAACCTGAAGTGACATTTTAAGTCATTCTTGACACAATGTATAATCCCGTTAGCTTTACGGAATGCAGGACAGGCATAGATGTTCATTTGACAGGTTAATATTAAAAGGTTACAACCCTAGCGATGCATTTGTTGTCAGGTCAAGAGGTGAGCTTATGGTCGTATATGTATGTTTCCTTATGTGCATGGTTTGACTTGTATGTATTGTATGTACCCCCAAGTCTATATGAAATAAATAAAAAAAAGAGGTGAGCGGTTGCAGTAAGCTGACAGGGTCAAAAGGTGAAAATAGGTGTGTTTCTTAGAATTACGAATGGACAAATTACCTGGCATATTAAAAATGTTTGTTTTCTATAAAAATTTTGCTTTTACTGATATCAAAACTTTTATAAAAGGGTCAAAAAGTTAACATTTAGGTTAGATTTTTCTGCATGTCTCTCTAAATAGATCTGGGGTCTTAAACAGTCTGATCTCATACAAAGTTTGTGAAAAAAAGAAAAATAATTAATATTTAGTCAAATTAAAATGCACAAGTATTTGGCGTGGCACATTAATATTGATTATTTTAATGACTTTACAATGTAAGCATCACATACGCATGTTATAATAGGCCAAGCATAAAATGCAACACACACTATTATATCACATTTACATTTTACATTTAGTCATTTAGCAGACACTTTTATCCAAAGCGACTTACAAATGAGGACAATGGAAGCAATCAAAATCAACAAAAGAGCAATGATATACAAGTGCTATAACAAGTGTCAGTTAGCTTAACACAGTACACGTAGCAAGGGTTTTTTAAAATAATATAATAAATAAAAAGAAAACAGATAAAATAGAAAAAGAATAGAGCAAGCTAGTGTTAGATGTCTTTTTTGCTTTTGTTAATTGTATAATAAATGAAAAGAAAACAGATAGAATACAAAAAGATTAGAAAGCAAGTGTTTTATTTTGAAGAAAACAAGCAGCAAATGAATAGAGTGCAAGTCTAAAAGGGACAAGTGTTTTTTTTTAAAGAATAGAATTAGAATAGAGAGTGCTAGAGTTAGA